AAAACACCCTGCAGGCTGGATAAATGTCCTCTGTGGGCCGCATGTGGCCCACAGACTGTAGTTTGAGGACGCCTGACTTATACCATCTCATGGAGCGTAAACATAAACCATGGTCTATATTCAGGCAAAAGTTCATTTACATACAGAGAAAACATGTATGGTTAAAAACATACTACACTCTTAGGGATTACTTCCGTAAGATGTTTTTATGAAAATCAATACTAGAGAACAAATTTCAGCCAACGTGTGGTTAACCAGAAGTACAAAAGTACAATTGAATATAGAATATATTTAACCATAAAATTAAAGCTAAGACAATTGTAGGGTTTGCAATGACAGAAAATAGAAAATAATTATGTGATCTAAGAATGCAGAAGTTTAACAACTAACAAAGAAAGGAAAACTATGGGGAAAGAAGGTCTATGGAAGATTAAGTATTGTGATAGCTTTGGTTACAATAGCAATCAAAGGATGAAATATAAAGGTGATAAACAGAAATAAAAGAATATTTAATAATGAAGTGAACACGCTGAGAAAGATTAAATGACTAAAAGCAGATGGTGGAGGAAAAACAGAGGATTAGAGAGAAACTGAGGAACCATCTTAACTTTATTATTTATCATTGGAAAGAATAATATTAGCAGATTTGGAATTAAAGGTTAAAGTTATAAAAGCATCATAGGAGGAAATAATGCAAATCTTCTTAAATCTCAGAAGAACCACCCATATACACATATAAAGAAGGCAGATACAAGCCAGGGAACAAGAAAATGCAATAAAATTTCAAGATAGAACCAATCTCAGGTATATTTCTAATATAAATAAATGTAAATGCAAAATTCAACTCATCTTTTAAAAAAAAAATTTCAGATCAGATCACATAGAAAAATCCAATTTTATGCTGTCTGTAAGAGAAAGAGAGCTCAAGCTCTTTAGAAAGGTTGAAAATGAAAACCAGTGTGAAGATATACAAGGCAATTGTAAATATAAGACACATTTGGATTCGGGCCAAAAAAGCACTGAACTAGACAAAAGAGTCTTAATGCTTCATGAAGTCAAAACATGCAATTCACAGAAAAGAAATAAAAGATTAGGGCTTTTATTGACTAACTCAAGTTTTTTTAGAGTGACCATCTATTCCAGTTTGCCATAGATAGACTGTGTCAGTTGTCTTGGTTCAATTATTTATACAACATTGTTTCACACTTAAAATATCTGGATTCAAATGATAAATCAAGTGAATCATGTGGTAATCCAAGGTTTATTCCAGGAATGCAAGTACGGGGATGGTTGCCTATCAGGATATACTCACATCAATACATGGAGTTTTAACATAGTGCTGTCCGTCTCCTAACACTGCATGCCATACCCTTATATAAGCTCTTATACTCCTCTGCTTTTTCAGCACTCACTTTGTTTGGCTCACTAGATCACAGCTCTGATATATGTTCCTTTTACAGGGTCCCTTGAAAGGCTTTCTCGAAGACTTAGGCAGACTGCAAAAGAAGTTTTATGCCAAAAATGAACGGTTACTTTGTCCCATCAGGACCTACCTGGTAACAGCAAGGAGTGCAGCCAGTTCAGGAGCCCGTGTGCTGAAGACCCTTCGCCGCTGGGGTCTAGAGATAGACGAAGCTCTTTTCCTTGCCGGAGCTCCCAAAGGGCCCATCTTGGTGAAGATCCGTCCCCACATCTTCTTTGATGACCACATGTTCCACATTCAAGGGGCGCAGAAATTAGGCACTGTTGCGGCTCATGTACCTTATGGCTTTAGCCAAAAATACAACCCTTAGGGGAGAGGGAGGAGAAATAAAGCAGTGACAGTCTGTTCTTACAGAAGCCACTTCTTCGGCTCTCTAAGGTAATTAGGTATTTCAATAGATTGGACCTCAGAACTTAGCTCCTTTGCAAAGGTTTTCTCTTGATTTTTGGAAAACATTTTTAACCTCAAGTTATCTTTAAAGGTAACTTCTGAGCAATCGATACTGCTGAATGCCACTACACATGTCCCTGTGTAAGTCATAATGATGACCTTTTAGAGTAAGTTTAGAACTTCAATGTTTGCACATTTAAGGGGTTGTTTCAGAAGCTTATTTAGTTTCACAAAACCTTGCTCATTTTGGATGTCTTTAGGTGGAATGAATTATTACCCATTATTCTAAAAAGTGGTCTTCAAAGGTGGAATGAGTATGATTAAGTCATTCTTGAAAACTAAAGCTTTTAATTCTGTTGCCCCTATGACCAGCTTTTTAACTGTGCAAAATGAGAATGCATTTCACCTGCATAAGTATAACAATTTTGACATTGCTTATTTAGAAATAAATCATGTGATTGTTCTTACAGAGTACTTTCTAAGAGGAGCTCTAGACCAGTGGTTCTCAACCTTCCTAATGCCTAACCTATCATAATGTGTGGATATACAAACCAACTGTAAATACGAGACACAATTGGATTCAGGCAAAAAAGCACTGAACTAGACAAAAGAGTCTCATGCTTCATAAAGACTTCATGCCCTTTAATACAGTTCCTGTGGGTCGAGACCCACAGGTGGAGACCTGCTGCTCTAGACAGAACCTCTTGAGAAAGATTCTTTGAAGCTTACTTGGTGGGTTAATTGCCCCTGGACCACAGAGCTTCATATTTTTAAATCTTTGACTTTGGGACTGGCAGTTTGACCCAATGTTTATACGAAAAAAAAAACAAAAAACAAAAACACACACCTTGGCCATCACTTCAAAATGTGACATGGAGTGTGATATTTTGGCCCTTCATCATCATTCTATTTTGATTTTTGTTTCATTTTCAACCAAAATGTATTCGTTATTAACCATAATATTCCATATGTTAGGCACGGAGCTGGTTTTCATGTTACCTTATTTTCTTATCAAATTAAATGTTTGTGACGTAGTAATATTATTACCTTCCTTTTTATCAATGAGGAGCCTAATATTCAGAGAGACTGAGTAGCTTGCCTATGGATGTGGGGCTATTAAGTAGTAAGACTTAAATTCAGACACTCAAATTCAGATCTTACTTCGAAAGCTGTATTATCTCCTTTCCTCTCCTTCAAAGTTGCAATTAATTTCATAGACTTTGGGTCCATCCAGAATAGTTTAGTCATTCCATTAAGTTCCATACATAAACTAGACAGCACTCACATTGCAGGTCTAAGATAATTCTTTTCCTCCTCTCTTCTTCACTGTCTCCAGCTCTCTGCATCCTTGCCTCCATCTCCCATCTTTATATATGTATTCCCCTCCCCCCTGCCTCTACTTGAGAGAAGACCACAGCTGAAACATATCTTTTGATTAGCTCCCCAGTTTGATTTAAGCCAGTCCAAAATATTATCAGTTGTGGCATGTGACATTTTTTGAATACCTACTGTTTTCTAGGCATTCTCCTAGGTGAGGACAAGAAGGACTCAGACGTAAGCCTCTACTTTAGTAAAGTTAAAACCTGGCCAATCAGGTAGATGAAGCCAAATATGCAAATTCAAAGCTACAACACTAGATCCTCAATGCCAGTAAAGGTAACACAGGAGGTTGGGGAAACAAAGGTATGCATAGGCTGAAAGTGGCTGGGAAGAGAGACTTTTGGTGGGCTTTGAAGGATGACCAAGATGTAGATGGGCAGGAAGAGAAAGAGGAAACATATACTGGGGATTCAGTGAGTTGGGGATAGGTGAAACAGGGCCACCTGTAAAGGTTCCTTCTCCAGGTGCTTTGTCTAATCCCCAGTGATAATGCTCTTCCTCACCCTTGAGCTCCATTCTCAGTACTCTTAAGAAACCTTTTGGAATCTACCCCTTTTCTCTTTGTATTGTGACTGTTAGTTACATGTTACAGCTTTCAAAAATGTAAGGGAGCAGAGGGAGTTTTATCAAAATTATTTGGAAATGTTATTTTAAATGACACAATTTGTATCTCTCTTCCCTTGTCCTGAAGAATCTGGAATGAGTGAGGTTTGAAGGTAAGAGATCTCTGCACCAGACCATAAGTAATCAAGGGCAGAAATGTCCTATTTCTCTGTGGCTCTCACAGGGCACAGGTGAGGCCTAATAAATACTGTAGGGAGAAATAGATGAATGAATGACATCTTCAAGAGTAGCTTTGTCTAAAGCTACAAAGTCTTCAGCTTGAAGATGGGCCTCTGTGGCACCAATCCCTGATTTTTACGAACCATTTGATAGTCTACAAAGTATTTTGTCCCCTATTCCTACATGTAATAGTATCAAAGGAAGGCAGGGACGCATTTATCAATGGGTCTGCTCAGAAGTCTACCTTTACAATTAGTTCAAGTTGCTTACCTACTGTGTCTCTCCCAGTGTCAAATAAGATCATTGAAGATGACTTTTTCTACAGGGACCAGTGCTTCAGTGGTCTGCTTCAGTGGTTCTCAATGCGTGGTCCCCAGATCATTATCATCATCACTTTGGAATATGTTTTAAGCACACCCTTAGGCCCCATCCCAGATCTATTGAACGAGAAACCCTGGTACTGGAACCCTTTGTTTTGCTTTGTTTGGTCTTCCCACATGTGGCCACCAAACCCATTGTATTTCTAGTTGATTCATGTTGCTAAATTTTTATCTAATCTAAGAAAAAAAGGTTCTTCCTCAGAATTCAGTTGGGCTGGGACCATTCTCCAGAAATGAAAGTAAACTGAACTGAGTTTATAGGTTACAGGAGCCCTTAAAGGAGAAAACACTAAACACCCTGAAGAGTGGCATTTTTAACCCAGCCTGTTGAGAGATTTGTAAACTCAAAAGTATTCATTTGGTATTCCCAATGGGAAGGCTGTTACCCCTCTGGATATCGATGGTTAGGAACCTCAGCGCCTTAAATTCGCCCAAGCCTACACCTCCTTGTTGGGTACAGGGTCCACCACCGAAGGCACATGACTCAGAGTGCTCAATTCTCCTAACCAATCCGGTGCCCTCAAGAGGTAAACTACAAGTCCCGGCATGCCACGCGCGCATCGCTGGAGACCAACTGACCGCGCCCCAAAGTGTTTCCCGTGCAGGTGGCAGCCTTCATTCTGGGAAGGCGGCGGCTCCGTAAGTCCCGCGCAGGGGCCGATGGACCCTCGGGCCCGGCGGCTATGACCTTGGCTACCGCGGCGGCACTACTGGCCGCACTAGGTGGGGCGCTGTGGTTGGCGACCCGGCGATTCGTGAGCCCCCGAGTCCAGCGGCTGCACCGAGGCGGGGGCCCTGGCCTCATGCACGGGAAGACCGTGCTGATAACAGGGGCGAACAGCGGCCTGGGCCGCGCCACAGCCGCCGAGCTGCTGCGCCTGGGGGCGCGAGTGATCATGGGCTGCCGGGACCGCGCGCGCGCCGAGGAGGCGGCTGGCCAGCTCCGCCGTGAGCTCCAGGCTGAGGAGCCCGGGTCAGACCCCGGCGCCGGCGGGGCAGGCGAGCTTGTCGTCAGGGAGTTGGACCTCGCCTCGCTGCGCTCAGTGCGCGCCTTCTGCCAGGAGATTCTCCAGGTGTGGGTCTCGCGGGGCGAGTTGGGGACGAGGTGGGAGGGCTGGGGCCGGGCTCGGGGTAGGAGGAGCCTGGGGTTCGGGGCTGAGCCGGGAGGGGGTGGCCCCGGAGTCCAGGGGTGTGACTGAGGCTGCAAGGAGAAAAAACAGCTGTGAAGTTGCTGGTTTAGGAAGGAAAGAGAACTGAGAGGGTAGTTTTCTGTCCTCTATGGAAGTTGAGAAAGAATGGGCCCAAGAGGAAACGATTAAACAAATCAGTTTCTCAAGATGTCCCTGAAGTAGATCCTCCAGGCTCTGAATTGCTGAGTCTGCACTAAGCCACGTCTTCTGAGCCCAAGGGCACTGGAGAGAGTTGCTAGCTGAGGACCTTAGATCATTCCTTTCTTTTTCTTCTTCATCTTTTTCTTTCTCTTTCCTTCTTTTGCCCCTTTCTATGTCCCTTTTCTGCTGGAGTAGAGTGTAGCTTGCTGCCACCCATGAACTCAATAGCACCATCCTTAACAAGACTCTGGCCTGATTTCTAATGGAATAAAGGGGGACAGAAAAATTGTACCTAGCTTTTATTAAAGAGTCACTGTGTGCCAGGAGCCAGATACTTTTTTTTTTCAAATGCATTTAAAATGCACCCCCCCCCGCCTGTATTATTGTCTGGAATCTTCTCAGTGTCCCTACATTATTATCCCATTTTACAATGTGAGAAAACTGAGGCATAGGAAGACTAAGTATCTCTATTCTACACTCCTTCCTGGCAGTGAAGTGGGAGGATTTCTTCTTGCAGATGGTAAATATTCCACTGAATAT